AGTTCTGCACGAAGTGCGGCTTCACCTGCGCCGCCTCGAACAGCTGTCGCAGCCGCGTCTCCCTCACGTTGGCGATGCCCAGGTAGCGGATGCCCCCGCGCTGCACGGTGCGCTCCAGCACTCGCCACGCCTCCAGCGTCCCCTCCAGAGAGCCCAGCGGCGTGTGCAGAAAGTAGACATCGATGACGTCGACGCCGAGGTCGCGAGCACTGCGCAGCACGCTCTTGAGCACGCGCGCCGTAGTGTCGTCGGCGATCTCATACGGCCATGGCTCCACCTGGTTCGCTGGTCCTGCGTACTTGGATTGGATGAACATGTCTCGGCGGTGCACGTCTGGGCTTCCGTCGAGAAACTCGCCCAGAGCCTTCCCATCTTGTTCTTCCTGGTGAAAATGCCGCGAGCTCGCCGTGTCAAGTCCGCGATATCCCAATCGCAGTGCGGCCAGTACATCAGGTGGGCTTTTACCCTCCCTCCTCGCCGTGCCGTAAAGAATCTGGGGAATCGGGGACCCGTTTAAAAGTGTTGCCATATCCGATTGAATCAAGAAGTTAAAGTAAAACAAGACTTCAAGACGGCGTTGATAAAAGGTAGATACGTTAACTGCCCATTCTCCAGGCCCAGGGCCCGGCTGTTGCCTGTCTTATATAAGAAAACGCAACACATCCCACTCCATACTCTTTATCAAAGCACACCCCGCTTTCTGCACATTATGTCCCGTCTGCATCCTTCATTTACCTATATTTGTACATGTTTGTACACACGATGATGATATGATTTAGGTAACTACCGAGGCGCCTTGATAAGCAATTGCCTTACTGAACGAATCCTCAAACGAGCAGATACAAGGTGAAGCCATAAGCACAGCGAAGTGCTGACAAGAAAACGACGCAACATGTATTCTCGCATTTTATTGTTAGGAGGACTGTCCTGACAACTTGCCCCTTTTGTGGGGCGCGTACATACACCACAAGTAAAGTTGGTACTACCTAGGTAGCCCAAAACACAACCCTATTTATTTAGGTTCCGAATAAACAAAGAACCCCGAATTCACAAGTTTCACATATGCATCTTATAAGCATTTTGATAAAGGAACGTTAATCCATTAAAATTAAACAATCTCCAACCCCATAGAGTATTTACGCTTCGCTAAATCCTAAAATATGTACCTGCGCATTCCAACGATCCAATCCTCCCATCAGATATTACCAAGACTGTATTATCAAAACTTTATACACCACATTATCCAACTCCACTGCCTTCACGACAAAGTAAACTGATTACTCGTCCCCGTGAACGCGCTAATACTTCCAATCAACGGCTTCGAATCGCCATAATACTTGATGCGATACGTGCCGGCAGCATCGGCGCTGCTCGTCTCCCAGTCGATCGTGACATCGCTGAACCCCAGCACCGAGTTGGTGCGAGTCCACGTGTACACCAGGCTCCAGTCATAATCGCTGCGCACCTGCGTCCATATCCCATCGCTGCCCAGTTGCTCGACGGCCGCATATGTGCCCTCGAGTCTCAGGTTATTACGGGGGTTGGCGCCAACAAACTTGGCGCTGACAACGGCACCGCGCGCATACGAGGCGCTGGGCTGCGTCTGGACAGCGCCAAAGCTCTTTCCGATGGGCGCAGCGTCAAACACGACGCCCGCGATGAAGCTCAGGCTCGAGTTGCGGTTATCTGGCGGGAGAGGGCCCGAGGGAGGGGCCGTGGTGGAAGTAGGGGCCAGATAAGGCAAGGCCTTCATGGTCAGGTTGATATAGGCAGGCAACGTCCATGGACCATAGAGGGTGCTGGCGCCCTCGTAGCGCTGGACGCCGAACTCCTCTGGCGTGGTCACGTAGTGGGCGTATGTGTTGGCAGGCCCGCCGAGGACAACCACAGGTTCAATGCCACCGGTCAGGGACTGAGCCGTGGCGGCAGCCTTAACTGCGCTGCGCCAGCGGCGGCCGGCCATGGTTGTTGCCTCGGAAGGAGAGACGATGATGAACAACTGGCCGATACGCAGAGTCTGCACGTCGACGATATTGGGCGACCAGGCATACGGTGTGCTCATCTCACCGACGTCGAGGAGAACGGGCTTGGGCTGCTGGCACTTGACTTGGGCTGGCGAAGGGACACGAAGGAGGCCTGATACGACGCTCCACAGAGGGTTGTTTGGTGCCCCTGAATCACCCTGGGTGAAGTCGAAAGCGCCGGGGCCATCCGTCGTTCCGGCGGCAAACGAGTATCCGAGAGCAGCAGGGCAGGTCTGGACGATGGTGCCGTTTGCCAGAGGGAAGGTGAAGTACTGCATGTCGTTGAAGAAATGGACCGACCTTACGGTTGGGCCTACAACGGCGGTAGAGCTGGAGTCCATGGAGGCCTGTAAAGCACGTTAGTTGACAGCACCAGCTTCGTTCGCAGAGATATAACGTACGTATAGGGATTTAGCTCCAGCTTGCTGTCTGCGGCCAATCTCATAGCAGCTAGAGATGCCCAGGTCAAGCTTCTGGAAAGCGGGGCCTCGTCCGTGGCAGGACTGGGACTTGCCATCGGCGCAAACGCTGGTCTGGAAATCGCACTGAGTGCCAGAACCGTCGTCACACCAGGCACCAAGAACATTGGGAGTCGTGTCACCGACGTTCGCCTGGGAAAAGCCCGCGACGAAGCCGGGGGCAGCCTGGCTGTCTCCCTCAACTGACTTTTCGAAAAGATAGGCGGCAAGACCCTTGTTATCTCCAGTGACGTGCGTGTTGTTTTGCAGCACAGATGTTCCGTGGACGGGGAACCACGTCAGTACGCCGATGTTCTTCAGGTCAGAGGCTCTCCGGAACCGCAGCAGGGTCAGAGTCTTGTCGACATTGTCGGTATACTGGGCTCGCTCCGCAGCAGAATTGGCAAGGTACGAAGAGGGACTTCTGCTGAGGTTGGCATCTGTGATGTTGGTGGTGCCAAAGTCGAGATAGCCCTGGTGGGTGTTAGTTAGAATACAGAGGAAAATAACAACGGAAGAACAAACCTCTTGAAGCGACTCATGGGCTCTCTTGATAGACAGAACAGCGCCGTCCACGATAGCCTGGTAACCTTGTCTGTCGAACCCCAGACTCGTGATTTGAGGCAAAAGATAGTTCCACCACGCGCCCGGTCCGCTGTGAGAGTGAGTACCAGTGACGGCAACATTTGTCCTCCCGTAGACGGAGTAGCTGGATCCAAGAGCTGCGAGCCCGTCCAGGATACCATATCGAACGGCAGTGTCACCGGAGGCAGTGTCGATGACAATGTAGACCCAGCGATTCTTGGGGTTGCCGACCTCGCCGACAATGAAGGCGCGCGAGTAGAGGCGTTGTCTCAGGCCGGTTCCGATCTGGGAGCTGTCGGCGTAGCCAGCAAAGTTGACCTCGACAACGGGGCCCGTGATGTCGGCCTTTCCCACGCCAATCACGTACTTGTCGCCAGTGGCAGCAGCTCTGGCCTTGGAGAGGAAGGGGTGGGTGGGGCGCTCAGCATTCTCGATGCGCAACGCCAGCTTGCTCGCGTGCTCCGAGCTTCCAAACTGGCTGATGGCGAGGACGGCGAGGATGAAGAAGGAGACGACAGACACGATGACGGCCATCAGTCTCCTGGGGACTGGCGCGCCGCCACCGACGCCACCCGGCTTTTGGTATTGGGAAGGCATTTTGGAGGTCGCTGCTTCTTCAAGATCGACGCTCTGGAATCCCCCCCTTCCCCAAGAAAGCTGGCTGGCGGTGGCCTATTTAAGCTCCAGACGGATTCGCGTTGGGATGGAAAGCTTGGCCTTGCTGGCTACCCAGGTACCTTGCCTACCCTAGGTATTCGTAGCGCCATGAAGCATTGTGGTTGGCAAAAGCAGAGTGGGAGGACGCCATCAAGATCGGCCGATGATTTCCTCTTCTGAACCGAATGTAACGCGGACCAGGGAAGTTAGCCAAGTCGCACCTGCCTCCAGTCGATAACCTGGACGGACCATCTCAGACAGCGTCTCATTTCCAGCAGTTCCTGACCGGGCCCGGTGAGCCTTGCACGCTACGCTACGCTCCTTCCCGGCCAAAGGTCCGCGGTGCATCAATCTCGGCAGGCGCGAGGGTGCACGCGAGCCCACGCTCAGGGGGAAAATAGAAGCAAGAACGACCTGCAGATAACATCCACTATAGGTAGCTTCTTTCGCAGCAAGCTTCGCGCACAGTACCACGGTGCTGCAGGACCGAGGCCAGCCAGCTGCCAGGTCGCCGCTGCCCCGCGCGCGTGCCTGTCGCAAGCGATCCAATCTTGCATCACATGGGCGTTGGCCACGAGCGGGGAAAGGCCCGTTGCGGTTTGGCATCTTCCCTCCAACGCCTCTCGATCCCATGCTCGCCGGGTTAATATAACCTGGAATATGCGAGCCAAAGCTTGGTAGTAGTTCCAGTCATGGTGGTGTGCATGTGTGCATGTCCATTGTCCGGTGCACCGAATCCGAAATCGTTAGTTTGCTGAGAGAACGGGATCTATATGGTGGTTGCCCTTTCCACTGCTCGGGTTGTGGGGTGGCTGAATGACGTAGTCCCCTCGCAGGCCTCTTACATTGGATCTTGCTTGTTCCTGATGTTGATATGCGGCCCAGCAGTCCACACCACCCCCCTAGTATACCTAGTTTTTGGTAGTTCAGGGCACCCGCGAACTAAAAGCGGCTTGAGCCTATCGTCGTCTGTCATTTTCACGGATACGGAACGCTAAATTTGTTGACAGGAGGTTAGCAGAGTTATCCTGGCGTCAATCCAGTGTTGATCATCCCATTCCATGTTCGGCCAGCGGTCTTTGTGCACGAGCTGACGATCCGTCGTGCAGTTTCTCACCAAGTGGTGCTGGTAATGGAGTGGAAAGCTAGGTGGTCATCATCCCATCCCATTCACCGCTCAGTTGGTTGGTGAGCGCCGTTCTCTAACCCACTCAGAGGTCGACGTTGGTCAACGAAACAAGTCGAATCGATTGAACCGATTATAAAATCCAATAAAGGCCCGCTGGCCAAATGGTAAGGCGCCAGATTTCGGGAATGAAATACTCTGGAGATTGTGCGTTCGAGCCGCACGTGGGTCGCAGCTTTCACTTTTGTTCCTGCTTGACTGAATGGACGGTTTTTGTCGAAACTCCTTCTTTGTCTTAACTGGGTGTCAATATGGGGTGTAGATATGGGATTCGGTACATGTTTGTCTAATATGTATGTATGATTTTGAAAAAGCTCCATACATATTGTTCTCTGATTGTTCAAATAGATTAATTTCGGAAGATTTTCTCAAGGATACGATAGGTGAATGTGTCTCTCGTTGCCACTCATGTCATTCTTTTCCGGGCATATGCAACTGTTCCTTTCTTCCCCAAACCTTATGTTTCCTCTAATTATCCTGCTGGCATCTATCCAAGTCTCTACTAAACTTCAACATCCAGCTCGTTGATCATATCAGTCAACTCGCATACAACACTATCATAGACCGCCTCCTGAAGCCGCGGCGCCGCCAAAGAGTCCTCGAATCTAAAACCGCTGTTTAGACATCTTAGCATAAGCTCTCGATATCTCCGCCCAAGTGGCGCGCCAGGATCGTTCGCGAGGCGCCGGACCTGTTTTATATCATGCTCCTCGTGCACCTTGCCCCATTTGCCTATCTGCAGCAAAACTACGCCCAAGCTGAAGAGCGTCAGATTCCGGATCCCATGTTCCAGCATTGCGTCGCTCAGCTCCTGACTAACAACGTCTGGAGAACCCAAGCCCGGACCGCCAGAAGAGTCTGGCCGCTGTTGCTGCTGTTGTCCAATTGCATTCTTCAGGTGTAGAGTCTGGAGAGAGTCTGAGAAATCTGTCGTATTTCGAATAACGAATCCCAGGTCTTGAGTCTGCCAATAGTCGTTCATCCAGGGGGTCTGGTGAAACTTGAGAACCACCGAGACGATACTGCGAGCCAGCCTTAGCTGATCCGGCACAGAGATGGAGTGATCAACGGGATACCGCTCCAGTATCTGATCCAGAGAGATAAAGTTTGTCGTTGATGAGATGAGATCCACGGCGTCTTCGGTTGGGTAAAAGGAGTGGCGGAAGCCTTGGTCAATGTGTCCGATGCATGTACCCTCGCGTGTCTTTCCCCGACGGGAGCGGTGGAAGTCTGAGCAGATGTTTATTGACTGGCTAAGGTCGACAGAAGTGTTGAGACGGGTTGAGTCGTCTGGAGCTGGGGCGGAGGTAGAAGCACCGTCTTCCCAGCGCACTACTTTGCGGCGTTCCTTCGGTATGGTAGTTGATTGCCCGGAACTTCTCTTACTTCTATGCGGAGTTGAGATTGTAAGAAACGCAATACCTACTATCCAGCGTGAGCTCCCTTGTGTTCTTGCATATATCTTCGTTTGTAGATCTGAGTCTATCTCACCTGATTGCTCATGGCCGACAGATATGTTAACGCGAGTTAGCTCAACTGGAGCTGACGTTTGAGTAGAAACACCTTGACCCCAATGAACTGCTTTCCGGCCCTCCTTCGATACAGTAGTTGACTGCCCGGAACAGCCGCTACTCCTGTCTGAAGGCGAGGGCGTCTGAAGGCGAGGGCGTCAGAAGGCCCGCATCGGCCCATCCAAGTTCTGACTGTACTTTGAGGTCTATCAAGCTCGTCTGAACATTGTTACTAGAAAGGGTATCAGGTTCATCTTGCAGAGCAATTCATTTCAGGTCATGAAGCTTACAGTTTGCAGCAGCAGAGGATGAATAGATTTGTCAAGACCTTCCCACTGCTTTCGGAAGCATCCACATAGACCCTGGCTGTATGAAGGAGTGTTTCGGCTGCGGAAAGTCTATCGTCGTCATGACAAACTCAAGATGGAAGTATGTACCTCATGCCAGATGTCGGCTTCGAGCCATTATTCTCCCCATACTGTTAAACTGACCTTGTTTATCCAAACAGAGAGCATCTGTTTTCCGACCTATGGCCATATATGTGCCTCGACCTATCTTGTCAGCGGGACCGTCTTTTTTTAACTCGCGATGACTGGGTTACCCACCTCTCCTTGGACCATCACTTTAACTGGAAAGCCTCGAAATGCCCGCTATGCCACGAAAACATGAACGATGGCCAACATGCTATAACGCGGCATCTTTGGAGTCATCTTGAGGAGATCGCCCTCGCAGCGCTGCCTTCGGGCTTAGACCAAGATTCGGACGCTGCTGATTCTAGCTCTGAGGATCCTTTTCGGCTGTACCCCTTCAGTACGCCTGTTCCGCGGCGCACACGAGATGTACGGAAACAAATAAGCAGGTTTGCCTCTCGAGTACGGGGGCTTGCTGCTGGGATGTTCGCAACTCCAGAGCCAAAATCTAACCGTAAAAGATTAAGACCGGGCCAACTTAAAGCACAGTACGTAGCTACGTCCGGATTACCCAAGGGAGAGTTGGTAGCATGGCTTGAACGTCGATTTCACGATTACGACTTCAATTTGGAGGTACACTATGTAAGTGCTTACTTCAAAAACACACGCATGTAAAGGTGCACGCGCCAGCTACTACCCAGTACTAACATGCGTTTGATGTTTCAATTAGGCTAAAGAAGAAAGGTCATGGGTGTGCAAACTTCCTGAAGTGTTGAGTGAGGTAAGACGTCCTCATATCCAAATGCCAGCGACCTCCATGCACTTGAAATGGCAGCTGACAGAACAATATAGAGTGATAGGAAACAAATGAGTGGGCTAAGATCCCTAAGAGGCTCTTTTATGTTCTTTTCTTTTGCTCGTTCTTTTTCTTCTTCTTCTTCTTAGCTAGAACGATAATATAAGACAACTTTAAACCAATTATTAACAACTTTAACGTTCTTAGTATAAGAATAATTTTTGATTAATTTCGGTGTCGGATTTACGACCAATCACAGCCGTCACAGCCTGTATGCCTCTGATTGATCGTAAATCCGACACTGGCAATCTTTTACTTTTTCCAACGACTAACTTCCTCCCTTGTTGAGGGCCTTGCTACTTGTTGTCCTTCCTATTCCGCTTCACGGAAGCCTGAATTCCCACTTTCAACGTGTTGTTGTCAATGAGGGCCTATAGGGACTGGTTGGGTGTTGACTTCGTCATTGCGTCGGCCGGGTTGTCGTTGCCGTTGATCCAACGGACTTCAAAGATTTCCTGCTTCTCGTATGCCTGCCTCATACTCATAATATCTATCATGAGCCGCTTCTCTTTCGTAGTGCCCAGCTTTATCAAGTATTCGTATAGAGAGAAAAAGTCGGTACAGACGATCATAGGGATGCTCGGGATGCTCAGTTTGGCTAGGATCATGTTGATCGTTATATTGAAGGAAATGCCTGCGTCAACGCCGTTGGCCATCGCGTAGATCTCTGAAGCTAGTACGCTTCTTGTAATCCGCTTGCATTTGGTTGATGACCAATGGACTATGTTTCCTGTCATCGTGAAGCTTCTTTCATCCGTCTTTTCGTTCGCTAGGAAGATCACGTATCCGATCTGTGAGTTCAGGTCCTTGTTGTTGGCGAATGAGGCGTCTACGTAGACGAACAGTCTAGCCGTACGTAGGTCGAGGGGGATGTAGTTGATGCCTCGGTCGACGTGCTCCATTTGCCACTTAATTCGCTTATTCATCCTGGCAACGTCTTTTTTTGTAGGTTCTTTATACTGTGCTGCCGCCGATAGGTCGAATGCGGCCTCAGGTTGACAGATCGATGCGATATACGCGCCGCGTGCTCGCTGTTCGACGTATTCTTGGACATTGGTTGCGATCTTGAGCTTCTCGCCTTGCTTCTTCTGCCGTAGGGCCAGTATATCATCCTCTCGGAAGGTTAGAATGCATCCGTTGAACGTAAGCGGGTTAGCCGGAGTCAGCTTTTGCTTTGGTTTGGCTATGAACTTGGCTTCTTTGATCATCTCCTCCTCCAGGGCTTCGAAACCTGGATCGCTGAGGCCAATCGTATCGTCAGTCTGCATACCAACGACTGCAAAATGCTTTGAGTCGTTTGACGTGATCAACAGGCATGGATCGTAGGTTGATGTGGTCATGCTCAGTCGGTCTCGATGATGTTTGAAGTAGGTTGCCCACCAGTGCATGCCTGCCTCGGCTATGCCGTACAACGGCTTGACTACCTCCATGATTGTCCCTTCTGGATAGTTGTAGCGAATTTGCTCAGGAAGGTAGGCTAGAATCGTACGTTGAAGTGCCGTTGTAGACTGTGTGTATGCCTGCGTGATGTCTCGGATCCATAGCATTATTCCCTGCCGGATCAAGGAGGGTGCCAGGGCAACTAGAATCCGTTGGCTCGCTCGTTGGATTGTAGGGCTTTGCGTTAACACTAGTTCTTTGCTTTGATCGTTGTGGCCTTGTATCACAAGCCGGGATTTCTCGTACGGAGAGTCCGTTTCCTTGCCTTTGACCTCTCGTACCATGCGCGACTTGAAGATACGTATACCCTCATGCTTCTCCGGGTCGTACTTTTGGAATACAAAGACACTTCGTTTAATAAGGGCTTCGACTTCCTTCTGATTAGAAAGGGAGAAAGGTTCGCCAGCCATTGGAATCTTCCCTTCCTGGCGGAGTCGGACTGCTAGGTCATAGTCCTCAGTCTCTTTCGCTGTCAGGTAGGTTGTTGTGAGGTCTATGCCCTCAGTCATCGCTATATCCACACTGGGATTCGGCTTCGCTTTGTTCTTTGACCCAGGGGGACGTCCTCGCCGCCTCAGCACTCGGATTTCTTCCTGTGGGGGAGTCCATTCGTCGTCGCGGTCGTCGTTGTTGCGAGGTCTTTCAGTCTCATCCTAAGTCGGGGTGATAGTTGAGTTATTACGGTAGTATGGTTTGACTACTACGATGCGGAAGTTGGTAGGTTTACCGTTGACTTCAACCGTATAGGTTTCTCCATCGCGTGCGAGCAGTATATGCGGGCCGGTCCACTTGTGGGTTTTTCGCTATACCTTTACTTCGCTTTGGAGAGGGAGGTTGAGTGTCTCCAAGTTATTCGGGCCGTTACGGGTACCCAGGGCTTCGGATATCTGTCTCTTTGCCTTGAGGGTGCGTATCTCTGTCATCGCCTTTTGTATTGCCTTCGTACGTGCTTCAA